CTAAAAAGCAAGGAATTCAAAGATTACTTCACAGTTGGGTCCAAAGTATAGAACAGGAGTGAGGCTCCTGAGAGGAGGAACCCAATAGACAAAGCATATGTACTTAGAAGATAACACAAAGCTTAGTGCTAAAGTGTGAAATTTGAGACACTTTCTAAACATTTGAATAGAAATAGCCAATGTAGAGTGGATTACTGGAGTCTGGACCCTGAAAAGAGGGAGAAATCCAGGAGATACTTGATTTCTTTGTGCCTCTGTTTACCTACCTGGAAAAGAAGAAGATAATGATGGCACCTCTGTCACTGGATTGTCATTGCCTGACTGAAGCCAACCTGCAGTGAGCCAGTGCCATACTCCAGTGAATTGACTTGCTTTGAGTAATTCCACAAAAAAAATTGAATAAGAAATTTAATTTACGTAAATGTATTGGATTATAGACTTTTATTTTTTCCACAATCATTTGTAATTCTATCTCTTCCCAGTTTATTTATTTCAATGTGCATGCAATGCCCTGTATTCTTAGAGGAGAAAATCTCCAAGGATGTTATTTATAAAGCTATATTATTATGAAGCTATACAATTTCAGGTCAAATTAAATAGTCATCAGAATTTTAGCTGGCATAAGCAGAAGCCATTTTGACCATTTTAGAAATTAAGCTGCTCAGATGGAGAATAAAAATCAATGACAAGATATGTTATTTTGAAAGCTAATATGATCTTTTCCTCTCACTGGTAGACTAAGTCCAATAACTCAAATGAACTAATTAATTTGCATTCATACTAATACACTGTGAAGGAAGTCAGTATTGAATATAAAGAAAACATCAAACTCATTGGATTATCCAGAAAACAGATATCTTATTATTGTATTAGCTCATTTTTGAATTAATGTTCCAAATATAATTTTATTCTCCCAGACAGCATCCCTCTTCTCAGCAATAATTAGTAATCATAATCTAACATAAAAATGCCCAGGAGAACTGAGATTGCTATTCTAACTTGGAACTTCAAGAGTAAGTGCTCCACACACCATTATCTTCTCTTCAGTGGAAGATATTGTTTTGCTCATAAAATAAGAATGGAAAGCTTTTATTTTCATATTTTATCATTGTTTAATTTTCTGTAAATGAGTATATCACTTGCATGTGTGTAAGTGCACCCATGTCATGCAATGGCGGTCAGAAGAAGGCGTCAGATTCCCCTGGAACTGGTACTATGGATGGTTGTTAGCCACCATGTGGGTGCTGGAAATCGAACCCAGGTCCTCTGCAAGAGCAGTCAGTGCTCTTAAATGCTTAGCCATTTCTCCAGCCCTACAAGAGCTGAAAGCTTTTAATGTAATTCTTAAAATGAATACTAGATTTTCTTTTTCAAAAAAATACTTTATGTGTATGAGTATTTTGCCTCCATGTATGTAAGTGCACTCATGAAATGCAATGCTGGAGGAGGTAAAGACAGTTGTTAGGTACCAGAGGAGTGCTTGAAGTCGAGTCTGAGCCCTCTGCAAGAGCAGCCAGAGCTCTTAATTGCTGAGCCATCTCTCCAATCCCAACACTATCTTTTCTTAAGGAAACTCTCTTGGTGCACAAGAAATTTATATATTCTCCTTTTAAATTTCAGAAACAGATTATTATTAGAAGCAGGAACATATTTATAAAAATGGCATAGGTAATAATTGTCCATATTAAGTAGAATGTCCTCTGTTAATGAAATAAATTTATACTATATATGATACATGAGTTTTGTGAAAAAGTAATATAAGTGTGTACTCTAAGAGTGAGCAAAAAATTTTACTAGCACTTTTAAGAAAAAATTGATGATACTGATAAAAATGAATTTTTAGATCTCAGAGTCATGTCATTTTAAAGGTAATGTAATAAAAGTATAAAAAGAAGTGTAACTTTTTAATTGAAGACCTTCAAAACAAAAATGAAAATCCAAAGAACTAACAGGGAAAATAAGATTTAGTTCATACTTCAACTTTTAATTTTTCTTTTACCCAAAATTTAATTATTAAAAACTCCTCCAAAAATTTATCTATTCCACTCCACCTCATGTCCACAAGACAGTGTCTCCTCTTGTAACATAAAGCACAATCAATCTGTATTCCGAGCCTTGGATATTACTTATTAAAATTAATACAGTGGTGGATTATGATGTATTAGTTGTAACTCATTAGATAACTCATGAAACGAATAGGCAGAATTGGTTGTCAGGCAGAATGCTAATTGCATTTAATAAAAGTTAGCTTAATCCTCTGACTATGGCTAAATGTGCCACATACGTTCATAAAGACAGTCATATGCTGCATATAGTTCCTAATTTCCCGAGGGTGATCTTTCCTGTAGAAATTGGTAGGAAATCTTTTGTTCTTCTCTGAGACTTTTATTAACACAGCTGCTAGAATTTCTAGTGATGTTTTACTCATAGTATTTTTTCTGTGTTAAAGAGGGGGAGACTGAACAATGAATTGACTATAAACTACAAAATGCCCTTTAACATTGAATGTTAGTGCTAGTTTGCAGTTGAAATTATGTTCCATGTTTACCAGATGGATAAAACCATTCAATTTTATTTCAAAGATGCTATGTTAAGAAGATCGAAGACAGATCAATAACATGCATTTTCAATAACCATAATTGACTTTTATTTTCCACAAATACATTTTGCATGGGTGATACTTGTAAGGGACAACTTTTTATTATTATTACTTATTAGTAATAGTAGTATTTTTCAACTTGAACTTAAATTTGTATTAAATCTTAGTCTATTCTAAATATTATTCAAAATTTTTAGATCTTCCCCCACCACCAGATCCCCCACCAGGTCAGGGTTTAAGGCAACAAATAGTCCCGAGCCAGCATGCTGGTAACGTGGAAAACTCAACAGAGAGAAAGGGAAGCTCTCTGGAGAGACAACATGCAGCCAACTTAGAAGACACAAAGAGCTCATTGGATTGTCCAGCTAAAACAGCTCTAGAGTGGCAGCGCCAAACCCAGGAATGGATAAACTCCACAGAGCGCCAAGAAGATACACGGAAAGCCCCACACAAACAAGGGGTTGGATCAGGTGTGTTCTGCACAGTCCCAAAACAGTGTGGACTGTTAAGATTTTTTTTTTTCTACTAGGTATTTTAGAAATGGCAATTCTTTAAGGGCATTTGGAATACATTTTCCTTAAACTAATAACTGAAGTTGGAATTCCTCAGCAGAGCTCACTAGTACATATCATGAATGTTTCCAGTGTGGCCTCTTCCACAACTTAATGCTTATGTAAGGTTTTTGAGCCCCAGAGACATCCAAACTTTCAACTAAACTGCTCAGGAAACAATATTTTTGTTCTTTAGTTACTTTAATTTCGGTGAACCAATGCATTTTATTGGGGTTACTGACCAGGACCATGCATGAGTGGTTACTCACAAGAGCAGAAATGACTCAAAGACAGGTGCATCACCAAAACCCACACCAGTTTGGTGACAACTCAGAAAAGCAGGAAACCTGGAACATAATACGCAACTTTCAGTTAGCTCAAGGGGTTGGAGAGCATGCTTTTCAGATACCTCAGTTGGTCTGAGACTGGTTCGGGCAGCTCGGCTGGTCTGAGAATCTATCTTTAACACCACTTAATTTCTCCTTTTGTGTCAATTTAATCTCTACCTTCAAACAGTTGACTGAAATAATACCCACTCATTTGAAAGGAGAACTCACCTCTTTCAAACAGGAGAATTTAATTCAAATTACAAAGTTTCAAGTTGATTCCCAAGCAGACAGTCCTCAAGTTATAAAGGCTGAACTGGGCTCACATGTTCTCCAACTGATTATATGTAGTCCAATGTTAACCATTGGATGGGAAGTGTTCATATTTAGAAGCCAATCTTCCTGGAAGTCTCCCAACATAAACTTAGTTAAGATCTTTTTAGATATTATTGGGGGACATGAGTCTGTTGCACAAATGCATTTTTGAAACATCCCATGAAAGTTTGTATACTGGAAATTAACACAGAAAGACACACAACTTCAGCAAATAATTCTCTCATATATTATTTATTCATTAGGACACAGTCTTGTCTAGGTGTGTCTTCTCCCCATGCATTTTCCATAATTTTTTTTACCATATGGTACTCAAGTCTTGGAAATTTTAATTTGTAAAAGAGCCAGGAGATTGCAATCACCATGTCTAGATTTAGCAAAACATTTAGGAAGGTTACCACAGGTAAAAGAAAAGTTATGTTATCCACTCATGAAAAACTGTCTAAGAAGTGAAATGGTAACTTTAACAAGCAGTTTTTAGTCATCTAATTCACTTAAAAATTACCTATGCCCAGAAAATTAGGAAAAAAAAATAGTAAAGGGGAAAGAAGGGAAGGAATCTAATACTTTATATGAGTTGTTTCTGAAGAGATGATTTATGAAAAGAATATTAACATATGTATGGTAATGTGGTTCTCTTTTAAAAAAATAAATAAATCCACAAAAATTTAGGCAATGTATTCCTGGCTCAAGATTAAAAACAGAAATTTAAGAAACTTATTTAATTCACTAATATAAAGTTCTTTATTTAACTGATGGAAAAAATGTTCCTATGATTTAAACTAAAACAAAAAACACATTTCTTCAGTCTTGATGGGAAAAATTAAGTGGAAGCATCATTGAACTCCAGAAATCATTCTCAGGCATTCTTTTTGTTAAGCAAACTGTGGTTCATTGTAAGCAGCTATTTCTGTGAATTTAAATTTTGCAAAATAAATGTACTCTACTGTATACCTATACCTATCCTAAGATTGCTTTTCATTTACTGCTTCAGTGTCATGTAGGAAATGTTGCTTGTGGAAGTTTCTTTAATACCTAGGCCTAATCAAACTTCATCATTTAAATTTTGCTAAAGAATAAAATTGTAAAACGGTCCATTCTGAGTTTTCGTTTTTAGGAGCTAAATTTGCATTTGGCCGCAGGTTGCAGTTCAATTTAGCCCTTTCCAATTTTCTTTTTTTTCTTTTTTAGAGGAGACCCTGGTGCCATACAGCAAGCCAAGTTTCCCATCCCCTGGCGGGCACAGCTCATCAGGAACAGCTTCTTCTAAAGGATCCACTGGACCTCGGAAGGCCGAGGTGTTGAGGGGCGGCCACCAGCGCAATACTAGTGACCTTGTTGACATAGGCTATATGGGCTCAAATAGTCAAGGACAGTTTACAGGTGAATTATGTAAGTCCTTTAGGTCATTTCCAAGGCTAGTATGATTCCAAATGAAGATTGGCTTATTATCATTTCTATTATTAAACAAATTTCAGAATAACAGAAAATTCGCTTTGCTTAAGGAAAAGATCAATTATTTCATACACATTTGGTCATAAGGCATTACTATTTACAGCAGTCAATAACATAAATATTATATTGCTTTTCAAATTATTTAAACTATGTAAGATTGTTTTATTGTAGGCAATTAGCCGTAATCCTTCAAGTTACATATAGTACATTTGGTAGTCTTCTTGATCTTTTTAACTGGACATAATAAAAGAACAGTAAGTTACCTTCTTGATAGTTTTGTTAGTCTGTTGTGCTGGGGATGGAAGCTGGAGCCTTCTCAGGTTAGCACAAGCTACAACCTCAGGCTTCTTGAAAGTTTAAGGATAGTTTTAAGAATTCCTCCTACTCTAGTTATGCTTTACTTAAACTTGGGAGGTCAACCTTGAGAGTTGGTTTTTAGTCAAATTTATAATATGTTCCACACGTATTCACTGTAGTGCCACATATTATAAATTTATTTTTATTTATTATTTATTTATTTCATTGGTTTCTTTTGAGACAGTGCATCTCTGAAGCCCCACCTGGCCCCCCACTAGCTATGTAGACTAGGCTGGCCTTGAACTCTCAGAGATCTGCCTGTGTCTGCCTCCATCGCTGGGATTAAAGGCTTGCACAGCCACACCTGGCTATAAATTTATTTTTAAAGTAAGGAAATGGCATTTGTCATATAAATGATTCATTTTCAAGGTGTGAAGTATTAGATAATAAAGACAGGGATATCACAGTATATCAGAGTAAAAATCATTGTGCTCCATAATGTTAACTTCATCCAGAAATAAACTGGTTTAAAATATTGTTGAGAAAATAGCCATGGTTCTAATATTCTAAACCTTTTAGCCCATTGTACAACAAGAAAGTCAACGCCTTTCTAACCCTAATTTCTCCTGTGAGAAGCAGGCTTACCATCACATTCAAATCATAGCATGTGGAGGCATTTCATCAGCCAGAAGGGGAACTATGTTCCAAACTCAGTTCTTCATGAATGAGTTGTGGTTGGTAACTAGTACTCTTATGATTCTGGTTTGGTTACTTGCTTTACTTTTTGGCCCTTGTTCACTTGGATTTTTCTTTATTTGCTCTGTAATAGCTGTAGACTCATAGAGAGAACAAGAAATTCCTCTACTTGGTTTATAAATCTGGAAATGCTACAGGGTTTTGGTTTCTTTATTCTCTGTTATTCTTCAAGGAAAAGATAGCGCTTCCTACACAATCTTCATTTTTCTCTGGTTGCTTTAATAAGTTGCTAGTCAGGATATAAGAATTCTTAATATAAAACAAGCCATATTTCTGAATTTTCATTTTCTCTCTTTTTTAGAGTAACTGAGAGGAGACATACAAAGCTGCTCTGAAGGACCATCAGGTCTGAACTCATGGAAGTGATGACACTTAACAGTGCAATGAACAATTTATTTATGTACTATTAAAAAAAAAGACTGTAAATGCAATGTAAAGACACACAGCCACCCATATCCTACAGATATTTTCTTGTGTTCTTCTCTTAAGTACACCACCCACCTTAACTCTTTCTTGTCAGGAGTATATAAGAAAAAGAAAGAAAACAAATCTCGCCCTCCAGGAAGAAAAGGATTCTCCTCTGTATATAATTTCTTTTGTGCATTGCTATGCAAGCTCACTCTTTTCAGCTCTGTTTATATTATTGTCTGTTCTTATCGGTCTGTTGTACTATATGTGAATTAATGGGCTGTGGTGCCATATATTAACTTTTAATTGTGTAACTTTTATGTTTAAATTTTGCACTGCAATTTTATTTGGTGATAAGCACAAATCTACTCCTCATGACATGAAGAAAAGATTGAATGTGAAGGGAGTTTTCTGTACTGTAAGTTAGGTTGGATAATACTGGTGTAACCAATCCTGTTAGGTGGTTTTCAGTTGGGGTGTAGAAATAGGAAGATGAGAAGGAATGGTGGTGTTGGCAAAGTCTTCTGTAAACATCAGAAATCCAGTCAGTTTTTAAAAGCAGAAAGACTGCTTTTACTATTGACAAAAACAGGGGTCAAAAGAAGGAAGCTGGGGTCCGGGCAGAATATGCATTAAAGTATGCAGGTAGCAATGATGTACTAACTTGCTTAAAAAAAAAAAAAAAAGATAATTAAAGCTTTGTGTAGAATCAACTTTACCTGCCATTGTAATTGACCCATCTGAGAATTACAATGAACAAACAAAATTAAGGTGTTTCAAAAGAGTTGTATTTATAATACAGTTTTTTTTTTAAAAAAAAAAAAAAAAAAACAGCATTTTCTGAATTGCCGTAATTAATCTCTCCAACTCATGAAATTGGAGTATAACATGAAGTTCCCTAAGGAAACAAAGAAAATGAACTCTAGAATATCAAGCAAATAGTTAAAGAAGCAACTTGTTGTTAGGACATACTCGGGCTGCTTTTGAATATGAACTCTATTGCAATATTATTTCGTCTTTCAAATACATGTACAGTACACACTAAAGAGAATATAGCTGCATTACATAAGTTCATGACTTTCTTTTTAACAAACTAATGCAGTCTACATGCAAGTTCATGTTTCTTTTGATTAAAAATTGAAGTTGATGCCACCAAATGCCTAGCCAAATTGTGAATGCTTAAAAGCAGTGCTCAGAGTACGTTCAGTTTACAGTTAGCAGACTTACTGGAATCAATAGTTTATGGTACATTCTCAGAATTGGCTACCAACTAAAATCTGTTTGACCCATTTTTGAATGAGTAAATTGAAAAGTTAAAAAGGAGAAAAATGCATGTTTATACACTTTTTAAATAAAACCAAATCTTGTAAGTGGACATTAATGACAGTGTCCTGCCTCATTTGTTTTCACGACTTTGAGAACAAGAAGTTCCTGAACATCAGTTATGTATACTCAAAATAAATGTGACTTTGAGATGTATGTTAGCTACTGTACATGTATAGTCAGTGAAGTAGAAAATAACCTTCCTGAAAATCCCACTTGTGACATTTTCCCATGTGTTGCCTACACAAACTTAAATTCTATTTCTGTTGATATTTTCCATTATTTTTCTTAAGTTATGTTCAATAGTTGGTACTTTGGAAAAATATTCAATTGATGATCAACATCAATTTTAGAAAAGGGGACAGTTTGAATGACAACACTGTGCATTATTATTGGCTCAGACACCAGTCAATAGGAAAAGGATAATGAGATGAACTGGTTGTATCTTTCTTAATCTCTCAGACTTCAGCAGTTCATCCAAGTATAGAACGTGTTGTTCTTTATGGGTCCCAATATGTTTTTAGTGCCACAATTTATTTTCTTCACTAAAGGGATAAAGGAATTCAGAGACACACCCTTTATCAACTTTCTACCATTAGTGCCTGAATTTTAGAGCGGCTTGATTTTTTTTCTGATACATGAAGACAGGGAAAGTTGAAAAGTTTCTGCAAAAAGAGAATACATAATTATTCATAATTCTTAGATATGATGAATTTAATTTTCCATCTATTCAGCCCTTAATTCATGTCCTCTATTTAAAAACATATTCTCTTTAAGAAATTCATTTCTTCTTTATGCTCCCGAATAACAGAATTTAGTCTAAAACTTTTATCACATATATAGTAACTAAAATTTGTAGGTGGTTAATAAGCCAAGACATCAGAAATGTGTATCTACAAATCAGATGACTTACAGAATAATTTGGGGGTATCACATCTTATCTTTCTGGTTGCCTTCAGTATATGAACATAAAGAATTAGGTATGTGCATACAGAAATTCAGGCTTTGTGGTTACTTGTAATTTTTTTAATAGTTTATGTTGCTAATAAGTCTAGCTTTAAATTGAGCTGACAAATCTTGTGCACAATATCTACCATGCAGACAACATAACATGCATTGGTTATACTAATTCAGGCACACGATCAGCAACAAAAAGCCTTCTTCATCTGGCTGCATGTATGAAGCCACTCATTGTTAGCCATCAGAATGTCAGCAGCAGCACACACACCTGTTAGAGAGCCCCACAATTTTCCATGCCATAGTTGGTTAAATGAAAATGATGGGAAATTCACTGAGCTTCCTCTTCTGTGAGTCTGAAAAGAAACTTGCATTAGAAGGAAATCTGTATGGGAAAGTAATCTCATCCTGCACTCACAGATAATGCTGCTATGTAGTCATGCCAGATTCAAGCTCAGCTTCCTTCATAATAGGCAAAATCTCCTTAGGGAACACAGCAGTGTCAATCCCCAAACTCAGGTATGCCAGTGTAAGCAGTGGAATCTGCCTACCCTTTCCATGCCATTTTAAAAAATAAGTTAGGACAGTACAGGGGTATGAATACAGTTAACTCCTTCATGGACTTTAGAGCTAGCTAGAGGGAGAATTTAGGAAAGTCAAGACCAATGTGTAAGGTATCACACAACCAAAGGGAAGTAAAACCATGCAAGTTTACTTACTTTGAAAAACAAAACAGATTTAATGTGTTCTGTGTCAAAGTTTAATAATGCTCTTGGTATTTAAATATATTTTCAATGGGATTTCAGTTAAAAGTTTTTATGTGCTTTGGTGGAACACCTCACAGTTACCACTTAATACATTTATGCAATTGTCCAATGATGATAAGATAATATATATCCACATCAATGGGCTCTCAACTGAGGATGTCCACTGTAAAGCAAATGTGTCAGTATTAAAGATATGGAGAAGCATTACATGAACCAGTGGTAGTTTGTTCATCTACTTCTGTACATTGTGCAAAACAAAATGAACAGCAAAATGTCTTTCCACATTATCTGAGAGGTGAAATTACTTCTACTTTGCTTTGTTAACATATGCATTTCAAATGGAATACCATACATTTTAAGTGACACGCAACTTAATAATACTTTTGCTTTCATAATTTTAAAAGCATTCATTGTGACTTTATAAAGTGTTGCAAGATAAGGGATTCTGTGGCCATGGGTAGGAGTTTTATACTTTGTTCTATAGATGGATTTTTTTTTAAACTGTAGTTTGTTTAAATCACCAAACAGCGTCAAAAATCTTAATGTGTTTTATTTGATGTTGTTAGATCAACGAAGAAATTTGCATAAAATTTACTAATAGTATTGTCAAAATATTGTGTATTGTGTACTCACTGGGAAAAAATAAAATATATTCACATTTCAATTTTGTAAAAAAGCCATTTATGTAAAACACACTTGTTTGTGGATCAACCAAAAATTGCGTCACTTCTAGAACTCTCTGAGTATTTTGTGGCTAAATCCATACCTCCTTTTCTAATTCAAAGATGGACTAAAAGTGCTAAATAGGAAAGAACATTAAGTAGCCATGATTAAAATACATTGATAAAAAATATAAATATTTGAAATTATACTTCTTATTCTTTCAGCACTATTTTCCAGCTATATTGCCTCCCATATAATGATCTTTAGATAGGTAAAGCTAGCAAAAATGTTTATCAACAGTACTACTGTGATAGCTGGGCATGGTGGCACACTCCTCTAGTCCCAGCGCTCAGGAGGAAGAAGCAAGCAGAACTCTGTAAGATCAAGGCCAGCCTGGTCTACATAATGAATTATAGGTGGGGTGGGACTAGGGAGACTCTGTCCAAAAATGAAAAACAAAAAACTACAGATAAACAAAAACAATTACTATAAAGAATAAATTATTTTAAAGGCATAAGTAATTGTAATTGGAGCAAGTGGACACCTTTAGTTTCTTTAGAGTAGCTAGTTACACATCTTTTTTAAGACATGGGAGGGTTGATGAGTCAATCCAGAGAATGGATAGAAAAGAATAACAACCTATCTGTCTGATTATACTTCATAAATGTTTCTTTTTCACTCCAACTTACAAATATAAGATCTGATTCTTTCTAAATATCAAAGACATCATTTTTGTGTTCTTTAAAAGAAAATAAGACAATATACATCCTTCCCTTTGATGAATTCAGTACAATCTCAAGTTGGCCTTCACCTCTATTGACACAGAGAAAGAACTGTGATATGGGCTTATCTTAGATGTGTTCTGAATGCCAGATACAGATGCAAGACAATGCTACAGCTGTGGGGCATATTTACAAAGAATTACAAAGGTCACTCCTTTCTGCATCCCCTAGTCAACAACTTTTTTTTTGCCAGTAGGGAATCTACAATGGGAAAATTGTGTGTGTATCTGTCTGTCTCCATGTCAGAGTGTAGATATACAATATTATATATTTCCAAGATACTTGATGATATGTTGTGTATAAAGTTCGACTTATACCTTAGTTGTACACTCTGCATTTGTATGTGTGTTATTGCTCAAACAAAATAAGGTGCACATGATTCAGAACTCAGATGACATTTATCTCAGGCTGCTGCAGCTGCCCTTAGGCAATAGCAGCATAGTATCCCTGAAAATAACTCCTTGTTAGATACATCCTCTAGGTAGTAGGCAATATTGTTTTCAGTTTTATTTAAAAGGAATAATGTGTATGACTATTTTGCTTATATATGTATGTAAGTATATCCATGTTGTATAATGCCTGGGGGTTCCAGAAGAGAGTACCAGATCCCTTAGAAGTAGAGTTACTGAAAGTTCTTTGCTGCCTTGTTGGTGCTAGGAACCAAACCTGAGTCCTCTGCAGGCACAGTCAATGCTCTTAACTGTTGATCTGTCTCTCTGGCCCCTTATTAGGCAATGTTTTTGACCAATGTTTTTGTAGGTAATATTTTTCAGTACTTACTTTCTGACAAATCTGCTTTAGTGGTCGTTGTTTGTTTATTCATTCCATTTGAAAGCAAGAATAGAGATTCTGAGCCTCAGATTAAATATTCAGAGTACTTGAAAGAGAAATAACCTTTCTCTTCATAAATAGTTTAATATCTTCTGTTATTCTTGATCTTGTTACTAGGAAAGTATTTTTATAACTTTTTTATTGAGCTTTTTAAAATTTCATACATTTCCCACTGAAATACAGACCCCTCCCCCGCTCCGTGCCTCCCCCTATCTCCACAACAAACCCTATGAACTCTGCCATACATGCTGAGTCCTATTCCTTCAGGTATTTGTACCCAAATGTCCTTCAGTATAAATGCATCCACTGGTGTCTACTCAGCCCATCCAATGGCTGTATGTAAGTTATACTCTCCCTCACCCAGCATCAATCAGTCTCAAATAGTTCTCAGTATAGTGCTGGCCAGCTGCCTATTTCTCACTTCCCCTTTAGGCCCTTGTTTAATTGAGCTGACATGGGTCCCATACTCAATGCCCCTGCTGCCACAGGCTACCTGAGCAAGCCTCCACCTCCCTGAGTTCATGAACCAGCCCTGACTCTTACAATCTTTCCATTTCTTCTTCCTGAGCCATGACTGGGTGAGGTCCCATATAGGAGTCCCAGCCTACACCCTACAGTCTCTTATTCTCCAAAACTCGACCAGTTGTGACCTTCTGTGTACACTGTACTTTGGTATACATGGAAGCCTCACTGGTGAGACCTCAGGGGTGCATTAGCCCTCTCTCTACCCCTTATTTCACTATATTCTATGAGCCTTAGTTGTAGAGACTTGACTGTACTGGGCATCTCCCAGGCGTATGTTCTCTGTGCCTGACCAGTTGTGCAACTCTGCAGTAGCTTCCATGTGTTGCAAAAAGAAGCTTCTAGTGCTGTATGGCATGCTTGTCACTCTAAGGGAGGTCTCTTCTATATGGTACTGCATTAATATTCAGACACTCTGTATGTATTTCTCATAGGGTTTTTAGGTCATCACTTTTCCGGCTAGGTTACCTAGCCCCCCAAGATTCACTCATCTCCACTCTTTTTTCTGCCATCAGGCTTCCCTCTTCCCTTCCTCT